CAGCCATTAATACACCCAAAGGCACATTTGTATGTATATACTTCAATAAATAAAACTGTAATCCTAGCAACATCTCTTGTCTTTGGTAATGTTTTACCAATAACGAACATCAAAGCCAGCAAACTTGTCGCACACTAATGAGATTTTAATGTGCTCTACTACCCAAGGCGGGCATGCGGGAATGCAAGCACTCACAACAAAGAGTAAAATGAGCAAGAAACTGTCATGCAAAGTGCGAGTGTGCGAGTGTGTGTTTGTAGTATGAGTTACTGCTGACGAGCACAAAAATATGCAGCACGAAATTAAGGAATAGAAAATATAAAATAGCAATGCTGTTGGTGTGTGTGCATGTATGCTACATACACAAAAGTGAGATCAAATTACACAAAAACCAAATATAATACAAATATTTTTGCAATTGTAAAATATCTGCAGAAGCCGGAATGCAATACACATACACACATAAATACGTGTATTTTAAAAATAGAAAAGAAGCAAATAATTTTCAGGGGAAAAAGCATTGACAGCATCACTAAAATGTATTTTATATTTGAGCTTCAGTAAAGTAAAAATATTTTATTTTACACTTTTATGAAAAAAATATTTATTTTTTGAAAAGCGACTGTTACTTTGAAATGCAAAACTTTCGTATTAGTTCTGTCCTCTGAAAATTGTTAACAACTTCACACAAAAAAATTGACAATCCTTTTTCAATGCACAGTTCCTGCGAAAACGTGATTTAAGTCGACAGCTTAAAAACGTGCTTCATTTTGTTGAATCTAGAATTTTTAGCAATAATTCAATGAAATATTTCCTGCACTTCCATCCGAAATTTTACATATTTTTCATCAAATGCTTGCCAAAGCGATTATTTTTTTTCTATTCTGCTATTTGTCACTGTTCATATTATTGCTTCTCTTCCAGCATTTTTTTATTCTTGCTGTGTACGAGGGCAACTCGAAAAGTCAGTGAATTTTTTTGAATTTAGCGCGCAGTAACTTTAAATGCAATACTGATTTCGTCAACTGCCAACGATTAATATACAACTGTAAAAATGTTTGCAAGTTGCATCATTTAGTTGCTGGTTGACAGTCGTTCAAAGCAGACAACCTCGTGAATTTTAATGAAAATTTAAGTAAGTTAAAGTTAAGTTTTAAAAAAGTGTTAACCAAATTAAAAAATTTTTTTAGGTCTTAAAAAACTGTTTGGTATTCAGTTTTATAGATCATGAAATTTTAGCATAATAAAGTGCAATTTTAATAAAAATGGAATAAAGTTAAAGTTAAAATTAAGTTTTAAAAAAGTGTTAACTAAATTTAAATTTTTTTTTAGTTCTTAAAAAAATTTTGGGTATGCAATTTTATACATCATGAAATTTTAGCATAATAAAGTGCAATTTTCAAGTGGCTAAGATGAGCTCAAAAGTTCAAAGTGAAAAATATTATTAAAAATCATTGCGAGCTCTGAGCCACTTGCAGCTTGCACCTTATTACACTAAAATTTAACGATAAATAAAACTGCATATCCAAAATTTTCCTAAAAACTCAAAAAGACTAATGAATTTTTTGTGAAATTATTATTATAATATTTATATGTAAATTTTTTTCCTTGTGAATTTTTTTTCCGTTTTGGGAAACCCTAAAATTGTTTTCAACTAGTTTTTATTATCTAACATTTATTAACTGGAACAGGAGAATATATTTTCTTCAAAATTGCTACCTTCTCTGCACTTTTCACTAAAAAATTTCATATAAACATATAAAAATTCAAAAATCGGTCAGACCATTAATCAAATTGCTTGAAAAATGGAGGCTCCAGTGAATTATGAACATTAAAGTCCAGTTTTGAACCACTGTGCGTTGTCGCGCTAGAAATCGTCGATAAAATCCCTGCAGCTTGGACCATCGGAAAATAAAAATGTGTGATGTGCCATAGGCATGAATAATTATTTGGATATGAAAAGCTATCGGCGCAAAAAGCTATCGGCGTGGTTGGATAAATGGAAACCTACGTACCAAATTTCGTTGAGATATCCCATTTTTTGCTCGAGTTATCGTGTACATGGACGGACGGACAGACAGACATGGCTTAATCGACTTCTCTATTCATTCTGAACATTTATGTATACATTTGTCTATATCTATCTCGATTCGTTTTGGCTGTTACAAACAACCGTTATGTGAACAAAGTTAATATACCCTTGTGCACAAGTGCGCTCGGGTATAAAATATTTTGGCAGAACCCTCCCCGAAAAGAGTCCTGGGTCACGGCCCTGATTGTAATAACACAATAAATAATGATGTGCCATTGATTGACCAACCCACAGAATGGATGGCAGTGCGATCGAAAAAAAAAAACTTTTTCTTTTGCCACCATGGAAACACTCAGCAACTTATGCGCACTTTCAAGAGAAATTAGAAGAGCAATGGAGTCGAGGGTTTCTTCAAACTATGTAAGACCAAAAATTTCTGTGCTTAAATGTCACATTAAATGCAAAGCAAAACTTATGGTAAAGTCTACTCACATTTCTGAATTCATGTACATACATATATTTAGTCCGAAAAAACGCTCACAAAAAATGTTCTACAAAAGAGCGACTTATGTATAAACTTTCAGCCAAGTAAATTTTTAAGAGCATTGCCTTCATTAAGTTTTCCGTAAATATCCAATCCCTAAATTTTAAAGTGCTCATGTACGTATGTACCTATTTTTATGTACATACATATGTACATACCTAGGTATTAACGT